CCTGTCGCTGCCCCTGGTGCTGGCCGTGGCGTGCGCGGCGCGCAGGTGAGCGCCGCGGAGGGGCAGCGGAGGGGCCGCCTCCCTTCACCCGCCTCCTTTAAAACCCGCCTGTGCTCCTTTCCCGCAGCGCCGACGGGCCCAGCAACATGTCCTACGTGAAGGAGACGGTGGACAGGCTGCTGCAGGGCTACGACATCCGCCTCCGGCCCGACTTCGGAGGTGAGGCGCCCCGTCTCTCCCGGTCCCTTCCCGCCCCGCGTCCCGGGTCGTTCTCCCGCCGTCTAAACGCTGCTTCCCGCCCCAATCCCGCAGGTCCGCCGGTGGATGTGGGCATGCGGATAGAGATCGCCAGCATCGACGTGGTCTCGGAAGTCAACATGGTGAGTGACACCCCCGCACACACACACACGCTCACACAAGGGGATGGCCGGGCCGGAGGGCGCTGCCGCCGACTCCCTGCCGACCCTGGTTGTGTCCTCCGCACCCTGCACCGCACCGCCGAGCTCCGCGCACCCCCCCCCCGACGAGAGGTCGGTCCCGCCGGCGGCACAAGCCCCGCAGGGGACCGGCTGTGTGTGTGTCACCTCCTTGGCCTCAGAGGGGGGGGCAGCGAGCGGCTGTGAAACAAGCCAAGCAGCCGGCGGTGGCTGGGAAAAGTTATTTGGCGGCTTGAGAGAAGGTTGGGGAGGGCTGGATTGGCGCTCCCCGCCAAAACACCTGCTGCAGGTGGGAGCTTCTGGGTTCTGCTGGCACCGGGTCTGATCCTTTGCACGGTCAACAGCTGTCTTCAGAAGCGTTGGAGCTTCCTGAGCTGACTCAGAGGTGGACAGGTGTGCATTTTTTCACGTTAAATGATTTAAAAGAGTTAGACACACCACTTCGCAGGCTCGGGCGGTTGAGTAAAACGTGCAGAAAGAAAATGGAGCGTCTAGAAAACGCTCTCTGTCTTGTAGAATGAAAAAAAAACCAAAAAAACCAACACATCCAACCTTGCAGATCATAAGGACGTTGTCTACCCAGCTATCAGAATCAGAAAAGTCTCCTAGCTACAGGTGTGAAACATACAGTGATTGATTTCAGTCTTGCTGCTGGAAGGAATGCTAATAGACATGCAGGCTTAAAGAGTAAAAATGTGCCTCTATAGTGCTTCCCTTGTTCAACAGTCTTTTCCCAGAAGAAAATGAAATATCAGTTACAAGTTTGAACATCTTACAAAGTCATGTTGGATTAGTATGCGCTGTGTGCATTTTGCTCTCACTCTCTTTCCTTATGTTTGGTTTGATATGAAAATCTCAGATGCTTTCTTTCCATAAGGAAAAACCTATTTAGTTTAAAGAAGCTAGAAACCTTGCATTTTGATCCTGATGAGTAGTTTATTTCACTCAAAAAAGGTCATATTTGCCTGTCCAAAGTAATTTGCCCAAGAGTGGGGATTTTTTCCATGGTATATTAGTTAATAGTTGTCATCTAAAACAATCTATTCAGAGTTTGTTGTCATTTTCATATTTAGCTTTTTCTGTTGTTTGTTATATATACACAGTTCCTGTTTGTGTGTAACTGTTACATTTGTTTATGAATACACTTGGCAGAATGGGGAGGAAAGGAGATTTGTCACATTGTGTGTAGCAAACCAGGCTCTGGGGGATGCTAATACCACACAAAGACAACATTTTGCAAGTTTCTGCTCTGGGAGTTCCTGTTGGTATATTTCACTTTCAGGGAAGAACATGGTAGAACTGCGAGGATGAGGCAGAGAAAACAGAACATACACCTTATCAAAATAGTTGAAGAACAGATGCATTCCAACTCCAGACTCTTTCTACCACTTTGTAATGGGATTGCTGCTTCAAAGCAGTACAGTCTGGGAAAGCCAAACACAGCAAAGGCCATCATCAAAATACATGCTCTGAAAGGTCCAATATTTATCTTGTGAAGTCTCAGCACCTGAAATACTGTTAGTTTCAAGGGGAGTGGATGTGATGGTTTCCAGGCGCAGTGTCACCAGCCCCAGCTCACATAATTTCTGCTTAGCTGTAGTGGATCCAGCACTCAGCTTCCTCCTCCATGCCAGCCCTTGCACAGCTCCTGGGAAACTGTAATTTGAACTTTCTGGGTTGTAATTAAGGACAGTTGCATGCTAGATGGATTCTTTGAGTAATCTCTATGTGCAGGAGGAGGAGGGGGGGAGCTCAACTAAGACTGGTCAAAGAGGCATGATGATGTTTTCATTTCCTAAAATGCCACATCTCTTGCATTGGAAGGAAGCAGCCATTCCCAGGTATAGTCAATAGTACATTCTTTAAGGCAAAATATGGAAAAACCAGTCTCCATTCTGAATCAATGTCTACATACCCATGTCTAGAGTGTTCTTTGTTGCAAGATCTTTGTGTTGCTAGAGACCGTTATGGAGTCTTTTGGACAGTGAGCAATAACATCCATCACTGCAGCAATGGGGGGCTCGATATCTCAGCTGAAGAAAAATTTTTCTACCTAGTAAAAGAATGCTTTATTCTAGTACTTCTGAGAATCACAGTCATGAAATGCTTAATGTTGGAGTAAGCTGTGAATCATTCACCTTCTCTCCTTTCCTTTTAAACTGTTATCTTCTAGATTTTTTTTTTTTTTTTTGGGCCCATGAAATGCTTAATGTTGGAGTAAGCTGTGAATCATTCACCTTCTCTCCTTTCCTTTTAAACTGTTATCTTCTAGATTTTTTTTTTTTTTTTAGGACCAGCTACCATTCTATGGCTTCAGAGCCAGAAGTGTCTACCAGGAGACACTTATTTATAGCTTATATTGTCTATAGGGCAATTTTGTTGCTGAAGGAAGCTGGTAACATGAGCAGAGAGAGCAACGCCCTCATCGTGTGAGCACCTCTTGGCAAGAGAGTCTGGTTGGACTCCACCAGAGCTCCGTTCAATCAGTCTCACCCTAGCAGTAATGGAGGGAGTTGTCTCAACCCTTGGCTCTCCTCAAGCACATGAAACTTTACTTCTAGAATGACAGAGGCAGCTATTCCAAATCCTGGTACCCACAGGCAGGGTTAAATTTTTTATTCCATATTCATTGCTTAAATAAGAGTAAGGATTTTTTTTTAAAAAAATATATCTCTAGGCTCTGAGGGAGGTATAGCCCTTTGGTGTGTTAGCTGAGAATTTGTGATGGCTGTGGGCTGCCTGCCAAGTCAGCAGGCTGATCTGTATGTCCGAGTAAATCCAGTCCTCAAGTAAAAAGTTGAAGTATAGACAACAGGACTATTGTGAATTCTGTGAATACTATGAGTAATAATTGTCTGCTCAAGCAGCTTGCCTAGTTGTAGTGGCTTCTTCAAATAAACTGAACTATTGTGAAATACTTTACTCAGTTAATTAATTGAGACTTGCAAAGCCTTGAAGTCAACCTTTCGGTTATTTCCCCTGAGTACTCAGTCCTCATCTGTTCAGCTCTTTAAACTGCATTGTTTTATAGCTGCTTGGTAGTTCAATAATACTGTAGTGAGGTGCCATAGCAACTTTTACAGAAGGATTAATTGAAGTACTCATTCTCATGACTCTCCCATTTGGCATCAGATATGTTGTCATATATTGATTTTTTGCAGGTAATAAGCTGAAGAGCTTGTCATACATCGAACAAGAAGGAGAATTAGAATGTAAAAGTCCTAATGATCATTGTCTGGTTCTAACCATGCTTTCTCCCTGATGTACAATGATAGAATTTTTAATGCATTTCCATCAGATTTTCACATCTGTGCTACAGTAACTGCAAACATTCCCTTCCAAAGGTACAAGGTGACCCTTTGCTTTGTCTTGGTTAATGACTTCAGCTAACTTTCATCCATGACAGAGTTCCTGTAGAAGTGTATCAGACATTTACATGAATATAAAGAGTTCATTAAGAACTATGCTACAACTAAATCTGTTAAGCTGCTGTGATGTGAATTGTCTGGTCCGCTCTGATACCTTTAACAGAAGGTACTGCTTGTACATCAAGAATAAACATGGATAGCATGATTCATGGTAACTACTTTCAAGCTTCAGGGCAAGCAAACAAATAGCATATTGCTATATCTACTAGGAGACAGGCAAGAAGTAGCTGGATTTCGTAAAAAAATTCACATGCAGTACATGACATAATTTTCTCTAAGATGTGTTTCCTACTGAGCAGTTGGTCAAACCTTTATAATAGGGAAAAGATAGCAGTATATGTTCTAAAGTTTTGAAAACCAATACACATGATAAAGAAACTTCTATAAAGCAGTTAAAAGAGAGACCAAAAAGGAGGGAAAAAAAGCCTGTTATTTTATATTGGCAACACTGCTCCTGACCTGCTGTAGTGTTTTTACACTGATGATGAAGATTTGATTTGTATGATAGCAGATTAAAGGTTTTGTGTTCCAGCAAAAAGTGGATAAATAAACCACGGAAAGAGCATTTCATCATTCTTTGTCAGGAGAAGTATAATTCTTTTGCTTCTCTCCATCTGAAATCACTTTTATTCAAGGCTCTTACATTTATTTGGTCTTGCAAATAAGCCACAAATCTTGCAGAGAAGCAGGTTCTCACCTGCTCAAAAGTCTACTGCTCAAAAGTCACAACCTGGTTCTCCTGATTTCTCCTGAAGTAGTCTGTCTTTTATGCTGTCAGCATTGCAACCTGTTGGAGAACATCTTTTTGCCCCAGAAATAACTTAATGTAGCTTAAACCACTCCCTGCGCCATTATGTGAAAACTGATAATTAAATAAGCCAGCTACATGGGGTTTTTTGATTTATTTTTTTTCCCCATCAATTTCATATGATATCACCCTCTCATATTCCATCTAAATCCTTCTTACACATAAGAAATTAGACATAGGGATAGCCAGTATCTTCTGGTACATATTTGACACCGTGGCTATGCTGACTGATAAAGTTGTGCATTTGTGGCACTGAGTAGACCTGGATGATCCCTCACTCTGTCATGACTGCAGGTTATCATTAATTTGGAGAATGAAGTGTCTCCCACAGTACTTGAAGTTCTACTGCTCATGTTGTCAGACATCCTTTTCTACTACACTTATTTAGCTTTCCCTGGAAGCAATATAGCATTTATCTTTTTTTACTTCTTGCTTTAGGGCTGTTCCCAGGTTTACTGCTGAAACACTAGCTTACATTAGAAATTAAATCCAAGAGAAATGCATTTTCTGATGTACCAGAAGTTTACAGATGTATTACTTTAGAGGCTTATAAGCAGTTCTCTGGCTGAAGGCTCAACTATATTAGTTTAGAGCATCTTTGTTCAGTTTGGATAGTGAACAGTTCTGCAAGTGTAGAAAAAGGAAGAACAAACTTGTGTTCTTCTGCACCATGTGATCTCTAGAAAGAATCTTCTTGTTCTTCTGAG